TGGGCACGACTAGTGAATGATTTGGACAAACCAACCACGCAAGGGAAAACTTGTATAGATTTGACATTTGCAAGAGGTATTCAAATAATTTCAAAGCCATATGTATCCTACTTCTCATACCACTACCCTGTATTCAATAAATGTAAGTTGCAAATGAATTAAACGATTCAAAACAAAAATTTTGTTTAATTTCAATATACTATACACGATTGACGTTTTCAAGAAAATAACTGCGGCAGTGTCCGACACTGCCTATCAATTTTTTTTGGAAACATTTAGTAAGTCCTCATGCCCCTATAAGTAAACACAGAAGATGACCATCGGTAGTTCCTATAGTGTTCTAGAACCATTAAGATCATGTGTTAATGGTGACCAAAGAAAACTTTTGAGAAACTTACGAACAATCGCTAGTCCCTACGTAGTACATTTTTGCCCAAATTCGTGTGTGTGTGTACGTACCTATTTCAATTGGAGACGTCGTTTCTGCTTGAGGCGAGATGTCTTGTACCTCAGCATTCTCCTCGGTTCGACTGAGAATCTCTTCCGTTGACTGGACGAGACTGACCCACTCCTCAAAACCCAAGTCTTGGAATGTGTAGCTCGCAATGCCTTCTTCAGGAACAGAGAGCAGGACCTCCCTATGAAGATCTTGATTTTCCTCTTGCTCTATATTAGCTGTGACTTTGTCAGCTTTATCTGCTTTCATGATGTTGGACATGAACTCGTGACGTTCGGTTTCCTATAAATTGGAGAAGTCTTAATTAATGTACAAAACAATTCAATTCACATGAGTGCACAATAAATGCAAATGAACTACCCAACATGCAGGTGCAGGCAGGAATGAAGAAAAATTTAAATATCTTATGTCAACTCCTGTGAGATCGAAATTCTTTTTACTCCAGCAGATATTTAGGTGAACTGCATTGGATTCCCGTTAGAGAGACGCGTTGCTTTTGGCATTATACACAAAATGCAATGGCTGAGTGGTTGGCATTTCTGATACATATTTGAGAGGCCCTCGTTTCAAATGTTAGCCCTCAGACTGGCTATCCACACATTTTTTTGGTGTTGTCCTCAGTCCTTGCAAGAAAATGCCAGGATAGTTCCTTAATTATGGCACTACTGCTTCTGTTCATATACTTCAAAATTAAATATTCATTAACTATCCTCAGCATTTGAAACCGCGAAGTATGTGTTATTGAAAGATCATTAATCAAGCAATAAATAAATCAATCAATAAATAAAAGTATTGCAGTTCATAGTTACTTGGAAAAGTAATATTTTTAATGAATGTTATGAAACATTTATTATTAACAGCTTTGTGTGTATGTGGAATAGTGGTTAGCGCCACTGGACCAAGGTTCGCGGGTTCAATCCCGGCCGAGGTCGATGGATTTTTTAAGGGTGAATAAATCAGTAGCACAACTTCCTTCGGAGGGGAAGTAAGCCGGCGGTCCCATGTCGTAGATTTACGACATGTAAAAGAACCTTGCTAGCATGATACGAGATGTTTCGTAAGCAAAATTCAGCGGCCATTTTCTCACCCAAGTCTCTCCTGATTCACTGCTTCTCTGCTAGATGGCTCTGGCAGTCAAAACAGGAGTAGAAATTGTGCAAAGTCAGTGGGTTGGTCACTCACTACTCTTAAATGCACGCTTTAGACTATGAAACCTCCGAAAGGAGGCCCTATGCTCCACTTAGGAGTTACAGGAACTAATTCATTCATTCATTCATTCATTTATGTGGTATATCTGCTTTCGTAACAATAGAAAAATCTTGAAAAATAAGTTTCGGCCAAAATTAAATGGTTCTTTCTTTGAACTGCCTTGGTGAAAATTACGAACTTCTGTCTGTATGACTTATTAATCTGAAATCATTTTTGTTACTCTAGGTTCTGATAACTCAAAATCGATAAAGTTATTATCAAAATTAAGATATCATTGATATTATTCAAGATATTATTATTTGTTACAATTATATCTTTTTGCATTGTAATTGATAAGTCTGTTCAAAAGTTAATGAGTTCTTAAAAATTATGGACGTTAATATATTTCATACCAGCTGTCTGTTGTAATTTATCCTTATTGATGAAAGAAACCTTCAAAAAACTTTTTTAATCTACCGACAGGCAAAATGAAGAAACGCGTTAAAGGAAAAGATGAATTTTGACAATTTCTTACCAGGGTTGACTGGAAATTTTCATGTTTACTCGTAAGTGTCCAGAAGCGACCAGCTCCACGTGGTGCTCTTGCACCTTTCGAGAAATGTGGGTTGGTTGTTAAATTATGTCGGATACAATTCTTCCATCTGTCATTATTTGGTTTGTAGTACGGGAAATGTTCTCTGTAACAAAATGCATAAAAGAATTCTAACATACACGTTAACACAAATTGTCAGAGGGATTTAAAATATTCAACAAAAACAAATGGCATTTTACTGCTTCTTGGTACAGAACTGATTATCAAGACTTGGGGACAGTCGAAACTTCCTCGGCTTTGTGATAGCTATTTTCACTTAAAAATCTGTAGCATTAACTGAAGAAAAATATGTGATAATAGCTCATTAGTCATTAACCTTTCTGACTTTGTTTTCCTTCGTCATTTATTCCATAATCTCTTTCATTCTTAGCTCAATATTTTTGTGGAAGTGAAGAATGTTCTGCAATCACCAGTCCAGGTGTTCTATCACACTGAACGGTGTTCAGTTGTATTTTATTGCAGGGTGAAACTAACTATCTTGACTTGGTTTCTCGATTGCTTAATGTCTCCGTTTTGACGCGAGTTAAACACTTGTAATGTAATGTAAGGTAAGGTAATGCAATAAAATGTTTTATAGGTAACAAAATTGCCGAGTAAATAGATGTTCCTTAGGTAACCATTATTGTCGATTTGTTGATAAACAGATGAAGTTTCCTAGGTAACCATTGTTGTTCATTTGTTGATAAACAGCTGACGTTTCCTAGGTAACCATTGTTGTTTATTTGTCGATAAACAGATGACGTTTTTTAGGTAACAACAATGCCGAGTAAACACGACTTTCTCTAGGTAACCATTGTTATGTTACCTAGTAAACAGATGACGTTTCCTAGGTAACATAACAATGAAGTTACACTTTTCCCCTTTTTCGTTTTCCTTTTTCGTTTCCATTTTTCGTTTCCCTTTTTCGTAACACTTTTTTGCCGAATGACCCTTCCTCATAGACGTATTTACGTCCAAAAGAAATTTAATTTCCATCAGGCTACTTACGAAATCCATTGGTAGATTTGAGAAACGGTGAGTTTTTCTTTCTCCTGAAGAGCTTTTGTGATCATTTCAACGTATGTGAACGGTGGTCTCTTATCCCCAGGGTAACTATTTTCGTGGTTTCCAACTGACGAAGGAAGCGCCCGATCACACCAGACTGAGGTCTCTGTCGTTTCAATGCACGAAGGTGCCAAACCGACGCCTGGGCATGGGAATTTACAAACACCTTAAACAAAGTAAACGTAATTTTGCACATGAAAATTGTATAGAAACAAATATCCTTACTTACTCCTCAGTTATAATTCTGCTGGTAAGCGGTTTATATCTCTGTACATGAACTTCATATCTTGACAGTTTTTTGATAAATTTTCATGGTTTTATTCAGTTCTTTCTGACAAATTTCGGGTGAATTACTCCACTACTCCTTAATTCTTTGCCCTTTCCTGATCGTATTCATTAACCACTATAATCACTCTACAGTATAGACTATTCTGAGCTACTGACAGCGTCTTTAAATAAATAACAGATAAGTACGAGGTGCGATCGGAAAGTTTCAAGACTGCGCATATAAAAACCCGTAAACTTATCTCAGGTATTAAATTCATCCATCACCCTCGAATTAGTTCCCCTGGGAGTGAACACAACGATCCCAGCGCCGCTGCCAAGC